CGTGAACTCTTTTTTTAAAATCTCTTTTGATAATTATCACCAGTTGTGATTTGACTTTTAATCCTGAACATAGCTATCAACTGTATAAAGTCGCATGTTCAGTCAATTCAGTGTTTTATCTATCAGAACTTTCTCAACTCATGTTTCATGTTGAAAGATTATAAAGAAACATAATTTGTTATCCACATAGACATATTTTCCACTTATGTGAACCAGTTCTAAGGAGACAGAACTAGTTTAGACTGTGTTTATTTAGCACCACCATGAACAGCCTTCTACGTATGTGTAGAATTCATCGTACTTCAGTATAGAAGCTGACTTTTAAAGATTAAGTAAAAAAAATTAGTTTTTGTCAAGAGAAAAACAATAAAAGTTTTCAAATGCTCATGTACTGTCTTTATAAAAGCGTGTCGTTCAGTCTTAAAGGTAATATAAAAGGTTTAAGCAGCGGTGTAATGCTAAAATTTATAGTGCTGAAGCCCTGCCAAAATTTGACAGAGGCATGACGTCACCATCAAGGTAAAGTTATCTTATTCAAAACCTAATTTTCATTTTTATGAGCCCGTTTTAAGTATAGAAAATATAGGCATTACTAATTATTTGAGATTTCTTACATATATTATCGAGAGAAAACACATAATTCAACTTCCTAAGCAGCACGGGAGGCGGGGAAACTAGGAACCATTTAAACATCACTAACATTAAAATATGTTTTATAAGCGCATATCTGATTGATTTGCGATAATTCTAAATGCACTTCAGAATTAACAACTTTGCCTTTTATAATACTTTTCACACCTCCTTTCCAGCAACACGAATAAAAAAAAAGCGACCCTCGTTGTATATTATGCAAAAATATATGCCTTTTAAAAATGTGTTCGTTTTAAACACACAGTATAATTGTAAAATATATTTTATTAAGGGTTTTAATACCATATTCGTGTGTCTTAATAACCACGTGACGTATGACAAAAAACATTTCACCATTTTATTGCTCTTACACTTGCTCAGGAGCCGGAGCGGTCACATGATGCTTGACACCAGTTCCCGAGAGAGAGTGACTGAGTGTATACTGGGCGGTTTGAGGGAACTATACATTCTGGGAGTTTCGTTGTAAAAGACAATTTCGAATGTTAACTGAATAACATATTTTTTATATAGATATTTTTAATTCTTGAAGTGTGGGGACTCGGCTCCAATTTCAAGTCTGGCG